TTATTTTAGTTCGAAAACGAGCAAAAAAAGGTAAAAAAAAATCAATTTTCGACCAAATTTTGTCAAAATTTTGGGTTTTTCTTCTTATTTTTTGACAAAATTTCACTCAAAAACGAGCTAAATCGAATGAAATAAATGAAATAACATCGATTTAGATTTATTTTTGTTATTTTTAACATCTTTTGGAAGGAATAAATTAGTCTTGTCTTAAAAATGAACTAAATCGGGCGAAATAAGTTAAAATAAAATTAATCTCAATCTAATTTGGTGAATTTTAAGCTAATTTTTGTTAAAATTTTTGGAGAAATTTTGTAATTATTTCAAAAACAGTTTAAAAATGCAAAAATAATACAATTTTTGCCCCAATTTGGTAAATTTTCGGTTTGTTTTCAATGAAATTTCGCAAAATAGTTCTATTTCTTGCTGAAAAACGTACTAAAATACTTCGAAAAAGGGAAAAATAACACAATTTTTGTCTGATATTGTAATTTTTTTACTTGTTRTTCACTTGTAAAAATGTGCTAAAATACTTGAAAAAAGCACAAATAATCACTASATTTTGTTTTTGTTTGAAAAAAGGRAAAAACCATTTTCGGTCAAATTTTGTATTTTGACAAAGTTTCACCCAAAAATGAGCTAAATGGAAACAAACGAAATTTTTAGGCATGTTTTGACAAGATCGAGCAAAAATTCTTCGAAATATTTATTTCAAAAACGTGCTAAAATATTCTAAAAAAAAATTGACCAAATTTGGTAAATTTTCGGTTAGTTTCTAACCAAATTTTGCAAAATAGTTCTAGAAAAACGTAGTAAAACGCACCAAAATAACAAGATTTAGTGACTTTTTGATGGTTAAAACTTAAAAAAAAAAAACAAAAAAAAAAACTGATTTCATAACTAATTTGGTGATTTTTATGTATTTAAGAAAGTTTGACAAAATAATTGGGTTTCTGATAAAAAACGTGCAAAGTGCTCAAAAAATAATGTCATTCAATAATAAAAAAATCGAYTTTTAGTTAATTTAACTCGATTCAAAATATTTATTTATGTATCAACTAACAAAACACATATTTGTAATAAAAAAATTAGATTTTAGTCACTAATTTTTTTCCGAAATCGCAGTTATAGTATAATGAACTTAAACTCCATCATCACAATTTCGAAATATATTAATTTTTTGCGTTTTTAGTGACTTTCATCTTTTTTTTGTTAGGTTGACCCTCTTGTGTCGATAATGATGGTGATTTTTACGTATTTTTTAGAAAGTTTGACAAAATAATTGAGTTTCTAGCTAAAAAAACGTGCAAAGTGTTCAAAAAATTATCACATTTAATAATTAAAAAAAAACAAATTTTGTTGTCCCCAAAAAATTACTAAAAGTTTGGTCTAATTTTCGATTTAAAATAGTTATTTATGTATCAACTGACTAACTAAACACACATTCGTGATAAAAAAATAAAACTTTAGTCCCGAGGTGCATACTAATTTTTTTCCAAAATCGCAGTCGTAGTATAATGAACTACTTTAGTGCGGATTTTATGTAATTTTAATCACAATTTCGAATTTTTTTGCATTTTTAGTGACTTTAATCTTTTTTTTTTTGTTAGGTTGACCCCCTTGTGTCACTAATGATGGTAGAAAAAGTCCCCGATTCGACTTACGAAATGGTCGGTGGTCTCGACAAACAAATCAAGGAAATCAAAGAAGTGATCGAACTTCCGGTCAAACACCCGGAATTATTCGACGCTTTGGGTATCGCCCAGCCCAAGGGGGTGCTCCTGTACGGCCCCCCAGGCACCGGAAAGACCCTCCTCGCCCGCGCGGTGGCCCACCACACCGAATGCACCTTCATCCGAGTCTCCGGCTCCGAATTAGTCCAGAAATTCATCGGCGAAGGCTCCCGAATGGTGAGGGAATTGTTCGTAATGGCCCGAGAACACGCCCCCTCGATCATTTTCATGGACGAAATCGACTCAATCGGGTCGTCTCGTATCGAGTCGGGCTCGGGGGGCGACTCCGAAGTCCAACGAACAATGTTGGAATTATTGAACCAATTGGATGGGTTTGAAGCCACGAAAAATATTAAAGTTATTATGGCGACCAATAGAATTGATATTTTGGATCCGGCGCTTTTACGGCCCGGAAGAATTGACCGGAAAATTGAATTTCCGCCACCGAACGAAGAAGCCCGACTTGATATTTTGAAAATTCATTCGAGGAAAATGAATCTGACAAGGGGGATTAATTTGAGGAAGATTGCTGAGTTAATGCCGGGGGCGAGTGGGGCTGAAGTTAAGGTAAAAAATCAAGTGGGGGTGTTTTTTTGGTGATTTTTTTTTTGTTAGGGTGTCTGCACTGAAGCTGGAATGTATGCATTGCGCGAGCGACGTGTCCACGTGACTCAGGAGGATTTCGAAATGGCCGTTGCCAAGGTGATGCAAAAAGATTCAGAGAAAAATATGTCGATTAAAAAATTATGGAAGTAATTTAATTTTAATTAAAAGTTTCAATTAATTGTTTGTTAATTTTCTCCAATTCTTGATTTAAAATTTGAGTTAATAAAAAAATTATATGTCTCTGAATATTATAAAACGTTAAAAACGTAAACTTAAGTACGTAAAAACGTAAAAATAAATAAAATAATCTAAAGGCACAAAGAAGTTAAAACGTAAACGTAAGGTCATAAAAATTGTGTGTCGTAAGCATGGAAGTTAAAACTAAATTTACGCAAAGTTTAGAACGTAAAAACGCAAACGTAAGAGTTACGCTCTTACGTCCTAAAGTTTGCGTACTGTCTCTTTAAAAATTCCACTAATTTAACGTAAAATAAGAGAAACGTAAACTTTAATGCGTAAAAACGTTAACGTAGAAGTTAAAAACGTAAACTTAAGTACAGTAAAAACGCAACCGTTGAGAATATGGAAATATGTAGAAAATTAAAACGCAAAAACGTAAAAATAAATAAAATAATCTAAAGGCGCAAAGAAGACGTAAGAACGCAAATGTATTTAAGTATTTAAGACTCCACGAATGTAATGTAATATAAAATCAAATTAAAGAAAAAATTGATAGTAAAACGCAAGCTTTAAGCCGTGAGAACGTTAACGTAAATATTTGGAATTTGTAAATATAAAACCGTAGAACGCAAACACAGAAACGTAACGTAAACGTGTAAAAATGTGTTTTTTTTCTTGAATTTTAGAACGTAAGGAAGCAAACGTAAAAGAATGTTAATATAAAATATGTAAAAATAGTGAGTCAGAGACCGTAAACGTAAAACC